CGGAAAAAAATCAGAAAGAGCTAGATTTATAGCTCGTACTTGAAAAATAACCACGATTTCAAAAGTAATCAAAATTTAGTCATTTTTTATGCAAAGATAAAATTTGAACAAAAACACCCTTAAAAATCTAGAAAAATTCCAGCATATATACCGGAGTTCGAATTTCTTACATATGTGTTGGGATTTCATAATGTGCTGGAGTTCTACCATAATATGCTGGAAGTTTATATGCAGGAGCTCCAATGTCCAGCATATTATGCTGGAACTTTCCTTATGCTGGAATTCCAATAATATGCTGGAAGTTTATAGGCAAGAGCTCCAATGTCCAGGATATTATGCTGGAACTTTCCGTAAGCTGAAGTTCCAATATAATATGCTGGAAGTTTATACGCAAGAGCTCCATAATCCATCATATATGCTATAACTTTCCGTGTTTTAGCAATATAATGACTATTTTTCAATGATTTTGCAAACGCTAACTATTTTTCAATTACAAATCCGAAAACTGACTAGCCCGTGCTATTTTCATTTTAAAATCACCCTTACTTTGAAATTTCACTACGCACGGGTCAAGAGTGATTAGACCAAAAATTTAGCAGATTGCAAAATCAATTATTTCAGACAGTATTATATGACAAATTTGACCCTGTTCCCAACATAAAATATCAAGAAAACCAGTCTTTGTGGCCTAAATTAAGTAATATTATTTTGACCCTATATATCTAGGTTCTTGAAAGATGTATTTATTCATTAGAAATGTAAACTTTTAACATGTTGCCAAATTGAATAATATAAAGAGATGTATATTTTGTGTTGGACATAGGGTATATCAAAAATGCCAGATACTAAGTCCAACATCAAACAAAATATTAAAGCAACATCCACATGGTATATGTGTAAAAGTTACACTGAGTTAAAGTTCCCATCTTTATAGATCCTTATAAGTTTCTTTTCATTAAAAAAATCTGCATTTTATTCATAATTAGAATTCTTAAAAGCCAATTGGGAAAATTTAAGTTTCCATGCAAGAAACCTTGCACATAATTTATTAGTACATTTTATCATGACAAGGATAACTTTAATAATGTGCTACATCTTTTATCCAAAATTATAAAAGATCTTAAAGATAAGCCAAGTGCATTTAGTGGTCATTTGCTTTAATAATAATAATAATAATAATGAAAGATTATCATGAATGTATATCATGTTTGGTTAGGCGTATAAGAAAAAATAATTGTCGCATAACTCAATACAATATTTTGTGGCCTAAGTAAACTTTGCATTGCTAATATACACATAAGTTAAATAAAAAGTTATGTATTATTTTATGCACTACATCACCAAGAAGGGAGATAGTCGGATGAAGGTGATCTCCCTCCGTCCTTAATTCGATGTTTTTGGTTCGAGCGGTGAGAATGGAGAATTTCGAGTTATGGGCCGCATCTCCTTTAATGGCCCATATGCGACACATATCTGAATTAATCGAGTTAGTGTATTTCATATACTAATGATTAAAACCAAAAAATAATTCCTACATTAAACTATTCCAAGTCTAGTCACTCATTCATATCACTATACTTTCTTTTCTCTTCTTATTTAATTGTTCCTTTAACTTTAGTCTTTTTCCATCACATGATGCTTTTCTTTTTTTCACATACAATAAAAGGCTCCCGCTATGTGTGAGGTCCGGGGAAGGGCCGCACTGCAAGAGGCTGTTTCCACGGCTTGAATCCATCACGTCCCGGTTAACATGAGGAGATCTATTGATTAAACAATCCAAAAGCTTTCCACTGTATATGTTAGTACTTCAAAGAATGAAAAGCATAGATCTTTTTAATTTCTTAAATATATCAGTAGTTCATGTATTACTTCAAAATATCAAGAACTTAGAGTTTTTTTTAGCTCATTTTTGCAGCCATGAAATTACTGAATATCCTTCTTGTTTTCTGCATATTTGGCTGTATATTATGGCCTAGTATGCAAAGCAACTTAGAGACTTACGTAGTTCAAGTTGAATCTCCAGAAAGCAAAATTTCCACTCAATCATTATCTGAGGATCTTTTTTGCCAAATACTATTGAAAGTTCAAGCTCAAATGAAGAATCGCGGTTAATATATTCATATCACAATGTGATGAAAGGTTTTGCAGCAAGATTATCCGCAGAGGAAGTGAAAGAAATGGCGAAAAAACCAGGCTTTGTATATGCATGGCCAGAGAGGATATTGTCTTTACACACTACACATACCCCGAGTTTTCTTGGATTGCAGCAGAACATGGGAATGTGGAAGGATTCAAACTATGGAAAAGGTGTGATTATTGGAGTTTTAGACAGTGGGATATTTCCTGATCATTCTTCGTTTAGCGACAAAGGAATGCCTCCTCCGCCTGCTAAATGGAAGGGTAAGTGTGAGTCGAACTTCACTACGAAATGCAACAACAAGCTCATTGGCGCGAGGACATTTCCTCAAGCCAATGGTTCGCCAATAGATGATGACGGACATGGTACACACACTGCAAGTACTGCTGCTGGAGGTTTTGTGGAAGGTGCTAATGTGTATGGAAATGCTAATGGCACTGCAGTTGGGATTGCCCCTCTTGCTCATCTTGCCATTTATAAGATTTGCGATTCTTTTGGTTGCTCTGACAGTGGTATTTTAGCGGCTATGGATGCAGCTATTGATGATGGAGTTGATTTCTTATCCCTTTCCCTTGGTACAAGTACAAGTCCGTTCCATAATGATCCGATTGCACTTGGCGCGTATAGTGCAACACAAAGAGGTATTCTTGTTGTTTGCTCTGCAGGTAATAGTGGTCCATCCGAAAGCTCGGTTCTAAATGAAGCACCATGGATTCTCACAGTAGGAGCAAGTACTCTTGACAGGAAAATTAAGGCTACTGTTCAGCTCGGGAACAAGAAAGTATTTGAGGGCGAGTCCGCCTTTCATCCAAAGGCTTTTAGTACAAAATTCTTCCCTTTGTATGATCTGCACTAGATGGAAGTGAGTTTGACAGTTCTTATTGCGGAACAGGTACACTGACTAACCCTGCTATTAAAGGCAAAATAGTCTTGTGTATGGTAGGTGGTGGTTATTCCAGGATTGCAAAAGGACAAGCAGTTAAGGATGCTGGAGGTATTGGCATGATTCTAATAAATAGCGTAGATGATGGTTTTACGACATCAGCTGATGCTCATGTTCTTCCGGCTATGGATGTAACCTATGATGATGGAATTAAAATCACTGAGTATATGAACTCAACAAAAAAATCTATTGCGCGTATTACATTCCAAGGAACTATAATTGGAGACAAAAATGCTCCGGTTGTTGCTGGTTTTTCTTCCAGAGGACCAAGCATAGCTACTCGCGGAATTTTGAAGCCTGATATTATTGGTCCTGGTGTTAACATTCTTGCTGCTTGGCCTACTTCTGTTGAGAACAACACCAACACAAAATCTACCTTCAACATAATTTCCGGTACCTCTATGTCATGTCCTCACCTCAGTGGAGTTGCAGCATTGCTTAAAAGCGCGCACCCCACTTGGTCTCCTGCAGCTATTAAATCAGCAATCATGACAACCGCTGATACAGTCAACCTCGCCAATAATCCTATCTTAGATGAAACGCTCCGTCCTGCTAACATCTATGCCATTGGTGCAGGACATGTCAATCCATCAAGAGCAAATGATCCGGGACTAGTTTATGATACAAAATTCAAGGACTACTTACCTTATTTGTGTGGTTTGAATTACACAAATCGCGAGGTTGGAAACCTTCTACAACGCAAGGTGAATTGCTCAGAAGTGAAAAGTATTCCTAAAGCACAACTAAATTATCCTTCATTTTCCATCACATTTGGAACACATCGACTAACGTCAGGGAGGCTAAATCATCTTACAATGTTGAGATAGTTTCACCACCAGGAGTTTCTGTGACTGTTAAGCCCTCTATTCTAAAGTTCTCGAAGTTAAACCTCTAGAATAGCCAATAGTTCAACTAGTGGTGTAGTTCAAGGATTCTTGAAATGGACAAGTAATAGGCACTCTGTAAGAAATCCAATTGCAGTTGTCTTAGAAGAAACTGCAACATTGGATTTCTAGTCTCTTTTCCTTTTAATAATAAGTCTGCATTACTGGTTTGTTTGACAATGTTGAATGAGTGCAGAAAGCACCCACATTCTATTATACTGGTGTTACTTTCTTTTGAGCAAGGGCAACCCGGTGCACTAAGCTCCCGCTATGCGCGGGGTTCAGGGAAGGACCAGACTATAAGGGTCTATTTTACGCAGTCTTATCCTGCATTTCTGCAAGATGCTGTTTCCACGATTCGAACTCATAACCTCTTAGTCACATGGCAACAACTTTACCAGTTGCGCCAAGGATCCCCTTCTATTACTTTCTTTTTAGTGTGGGCTAATATTTCTACTTCATTCTTTTACTTTATTTCTGTAATGGTTTTCTACATCTTTTCAGTTTTGTGAATTTTTACTACATCAGTTCTATTTTCTTAATCGTCAGTAATATTTTTTATACTTCGACTTATTTTAGTTACTTTGTTGTATATTGAATTGATTGCTTACATCCTTCATCTTTATCTGCATCCAAATTTATGTTGATCCTAATTTACTTTGTATATTCTAATTTATAAAACATTCTTTTAATCTTGATATATATTTCAAAAAGTTTTGACATCAAATTACTTGAAAAGTAAATTGCTTGTTAATATGGCTTAATTATGGATACACTTCCTGCATTTTGAATCAGGCACATAGATCCTCTATAAAAGGCCTATATAAAAATGTACAGCTGCGCGCCATGTCTTCTAAAATTGCACACTCAAAACCCCCTATACATTGAATTTCTATTATATATGGAGTTTAATGTGTATGATTACATCATTAAGAGTTTAAGTTATAATAGGGATGTATCCATGATGCAGTAGATTTTATAGACTGAAGCAAAAGATGATTGAAAAGCAAAATGCATTTAAAAACGACTCTTTGAATTAGACTAATCATGGAATCTAATAACATATAATCACATGCTTATTGTAAATGGATCAAATTATTAGAAAGAGAAAGCAAATAGACATCCACACCTGCAGTTTTACTAGACTAGCACAACTGCGATTGGACTTCGTACAGAGTGCCTATTACTAGTCCATTTCAAGAATCCTTCAACTACATCACTGTTTGAGTTGTTGGTTATTTTGGAAAAGATCACTTGATATGTCAACTTCTGGTTCAACTTGGAGAATTTTAGAGTAGAGGGCTTAACCATCACGGAAACTCCTCGTGGTGAAATTATCTCTACACTGTAAGATGATTTAGCATCGCCAACATTGGTTACTGTTCTAGTATATGTCTGAGTATTTGTTCCCAGTGTGATGGAAAATGACGGATAATTTAGTTGTGCTTCAAGAATACTTTTCACTTCCGAGCAATTGACCTTGCGTTGTAGAAGGTTTCCCACCTGTCGATTTGTGTAATTCAAACCACACAAGTAAGGTAAGTAGTCGTCAAATGGGGTGTCATAAATTAGTCCCGGATCATTTGCTCTTGATGGATTGACATGTCCTGAACCAACGGCAAAGATATTAGCCGTAAGAAGCCTTTCATCTAAGATGGGATTGTTAGCGAGGTTTAATGTATCAGCAGTTGTCATGATTGCTGATTTAATAGCTGCAGGAGACCAAGTAGGGTGTGCGCTTTTTAGCAATGCTGCAACTCCACTGAGGTGAGGACAAGACATGGAAGTGCCTGAAATAATATTGAAGGTAGATTTTAAGTTTGTGTTGTTCTCTACAGAAGCAGGCCATGCAGCAAGAATGTTAACACCAGGACCAATAATGTCAGGCTTCAAGATTCCAGGACTAGCCATGCTTGGTCCTCGAGAAGAAAATGAAGCAACCATTGGTGCATTTCTATCTCCGATTATCGTTCCTTGAAACGTAATTCTAGCTACTGGTTTCTCAGTTGAATTCATATAGTCAAGAATTTTCATTCCATCAGCATCAGTAACATCCAGGGCAGGAAGGACATGAGCATCGGCTAACGTAGTAAAACCATATTCTGGCCCATTGTAGATGATCATGCCAACACCTCCAGCATCCTTTACTGCTTGTCCTTTTCCAATCCTTGTATAACCACCACCTGCCATACACAAAACTATTTTGCCTCTAATAGCAGGGTCAGTCAGTGTACCTGTTCCGCAATAAGGGCTGTCAAAATCACTTGCATTCTTTGCAGGATCAAATAGAGGGAAAAATGTTACGTTGGAAGACTTTGGATGAAAAGTTGATTCGCCCTCGAATTCCTTTTTGTTTCCAAGCTTAACAGTAGCCTTAATTTTCCTGTCGAGAGTGCTTGCACCTACTGTCAGAATCCATGGGGCTTCATTTGAAGTAGAGCTATTGTATGGACCTTCATTGCCGGCTGAGCAACTTACAAGAATGCCTCTTTCTGTCGCACTATATGCACCGAGTGCAATGGGATCACTATGCAAGGGACTACCACTTCCACCAAGGGAAAGGGACAGGATATCGACACCATCATCAATAGCAGCATCCATGGCAGCCAAAATTTCACCGTCAGCGCAACCAGAAGAGTCACAAACCTTATAAATTGCCAAATGAGCAAGAGGGGCAACCCCAACTGCAGTACCTTTAGCATTCCCATATACATTGGCACCTTGCACAAAACCTCCAGCAGCAGTGCTGGCTGTGTGGGTGCCATGTCCATCATCATCTATTGGCGAGCGATCTTCTTGTATGTAGGACCTCGCACCTATGAGCTTGTTGTTACACTTTGTAGTGAAATTGGATTCACACTTGCCCTTCCACTTAGCAGGCGGAGGAGGCATCCCTTCGTCGCTAAATGAAGGATGGTCAGGCGAAATGCCAGTGTCCAAGACTCCAATGATCACACCTTTACCATAGTTGGAATCTTTCCACAATCCCATATTCTGCTGCAATCCAAGAAAACTTGGAGTATGGGTAGTGTGTAACGACAATATCTTCTCTGGCCATGCAGACATAAAACCTGGTTTCTTCTCCATTTCCTTCACTTGCTCTGCTGTTAATCTTGCTGCAAAGCCTTTCATTACGTTGCGATATGAATACACTAAACGTGGCCCTTCTTCGTCATCTGAGCGTGTGCTTGCTATCGTATTTGGCAAAAAAGATCGGTACCAGCTCTCAAGATCCTGATCTGATAAAGATTGAGTGGAAATTTGGCTTTCTGGGGATTCAACTTGAACTATATAAGTCTCAAAAGGGCTCTGAATAGTTGGCCATGGAAAACAGCTAACCATACAAAAAAGAAAAAAGATTTTCAAGAAATTCATGGCTGCAACTGGGCTAAAAGAACTCTAATTTCTTGCTGTTCTGAAGTACAGTTGATACTTGAAATTCTTTAAACAACTAGTAGTATATATAGTGCTTTGGCCCTTTAATTTTGACTGATTTTCTGGTTCAACACGTTGGAACCTTTTTCAATTGTTAATTCAGATAAAGCACCTCATGTTGATTATAGTATTATTGTGTTGAAAAAGGAATACCATCATTAGAAGGAAAAACAAAGTTAAAGAAAGACTCAAGTAAAGCAGGAAAAGAAAAGGACACTGATGTGAACAAGTATTGTTGAACTCTTTCCTATATAATTGATTATTCTTAATCACCATCTACAAACCCGTACTATGTTTGCAGCCAGCCAATTTTGATATCTTAAAAATATATGTAGCCATATAGATCGTGAAAATTTATATAGCCGATCACATGTTGAAATTAATGCATAATTGAGTTGTAGTCTTTATCTACTGCTTCCAATGGTCCACTGAGATTAAAAGAATAAAAAGACCACCCTACTTTTTTCTTTTTCTAAATAAATGAAAGTGTTTTACCTTTAAGCTTATCTTTTCTTTTTGGATAAAGTTACGGTGGAGTAGTAAGTACTCTTTTATCATTAACCAGAAACTTGGATTTCGAGCCTTGAATATAGAATCGCTTTTGAGTAGGAAGCGTTTTACCTCCCCGCACCCGCAAAGTAGGACTTCCGGTCACAAATGCCGATTAGTCGGACCCAGAGCAAATATGCGGAAACCAAAAGAAAAGGTGAAGTTATTCCTGTGTCAAAAAAGAGGTGGTAATGGCACTTAAAGAAATTAAGGACCAGGTCAATTAAGCCATGCTTTCCCTTTTTCTGTGCATATTATAATGATCTAAAGTTGGGAACTTTAAATTCTATGTATATATACCATCTGGATATTATTTTGTTCACTTATTAGAAGTTGGAGTTGGCCTCTGTCATTATTGGCATGCTCAACTCTTTTGAATCTTTTTGAGCAACATTCAAACGTGTCCATTTAAATTTAAATAAATACATCTTCCAAGAACCTCACTACTCTTTTTGTTTCTTCATTCTTGACTCTCTTTTTCCATGTCAACCTCCTTTTTCCTTTTTCTTTTGGGATCATAAAGTAGTGCCTGGGTCGGCGTCTAACTTTGTCCATGAGAGTGTCTCGACTAGTTGCTGAGGTACCTGCTATTATTCTCCGGCAAAGCTATATTAGGTTATTTTTTCCACCAAAACTTCGACAGACTCATAAAAGTTATCTACTACTATTTTTGGTCTTTGCTTGAATTTGAAGCTTAATCTTCCATGATCTTGCCACTTCATTAACCACTAGAATACACTTAAATATGCATCTCCTCTGCTTAATTTAGATCACAATGACTGGTTTTCTTGATATTTTTTATTTTTACTAATTTCTCGATACGTGTGTTGCACGTGTATATCAAGTTATGTAATATATGATTCTGCGTATTTTTCAAATATATATAATGAAAGCATATCCTGAATAGGTTGCTACGAACTCATTATAACTATAAGTATGCATTGTTCCTAGTTGTTGCATTAAGCACCATTGTTTAACCAAAAAGTGGAATTTCGGTCAAAGCTCTATTTTAGAAGAACTCGGGTTACTGACAATCAATGTATAAAATGAGTAAAAGAAATTGATTTTGCTAACAATAAGATGAACAGAAGAAAACAAAGTAAATCAGTATATTTCGATTATATTTCATGTCCTTACAAATGTTTAGTCTTCTCCTTTTTATAGACATTTCTAAAATATATGTTTTGCCTTTGTCATAATAACAATTAAAGGCATTTAATGCTACATTACAATGGTAATCATTGTAATTTTACCATTGTAATTCAATATAGATTCTCTAACGTTTTCAGTATTTAATGCTTATTAAATACTGTATATGTACTCTCTTATGCTGTCAGATTCATTCTCCTTAATTTTTGGATTTAAATAGGTACGAGCATCGAGTCTTTTGAATATCTGCTTGTGCCTCTGCTCGTATCTGTTGCGACTCGTGACTCTTTGCTAATCATCATTTTTTTGACCAGCCTTCGTGTCATGACACGTCATCTTTCAATCACTTCAATATTTATAAACTCATTTTTTTCCAATACAGATAGTCCCCCCACTTGCCATTTATTCATCAATTGAATATTTGGGATGTGGATTTTATTAAAGCGGGAATATTTGACGCCATTAATGTTATTATGGAATCGACGCTTCAATTGTCACTTCTCTTTAATGCTTATGACACATGGCATCTTTTTATTGGTTCTGCGACTTTGCATCGGTTTTTAAGGCTCTTTTACAGCTTCACCAATTACGAAGCGACAGTTCTCGTTATGACCTATCCATCATTGCACTTTTTCCTTTGACGGTTGCTTCTTAATATAAATATAGTTTTTGCATTTGTCTTTCTCACATAAAGTTCTCTGAATATTCAATTCTTAAATTCTTGTTTGCTTCTTCCTCGTACTATCATGTCTTCATCAAACCCTAACCCTAGCAGAGTCCCCATAGTTGATAACTTTCCTCTTGCCCCTAGTAGGAGCAAAAGAGGAGGTAGACTACGTAATTTAGGATCTTCATCCATACGTGGTTCTTCTCTTCCTTCATCTAGTTCCGGTCCTTCTTCTAGAACCAAAGGTTCTCTTTCTCAGAGGTCTTCTTCTAGAGGTAAAGAACCCTCTGAACCTCTTCGTGAACCTTCAGTAGAGGAAATAGTTCCTGTGGAACTATTTTTCTACAATGATAGAGAGTCCCTTAGAAACCAAGTGTCCTCTTTGGCTCTTGCTAATATCTACCCAACTCAGATCACTGAAGGCCTGATTTCTTTAATTCGTAAATACTGTCATTGGAGTCATGACTTCCCTATCATAATTCCCAATGCGAATCAAAGAATCACCTCTTATTTAATTGGGTTTTCTTTTGTTTATACATACCCTTTTCACGTTAGGTTTCAAACCTTCTATTGACCCTGTTATCCTCGAGTTCTGTCGTTTTTTCGACGTTTGTTTAGGTCAAATTGGTCCCATAGTGTGGAGGGTTGTTGCCTGTTTGAGGCATTTGACTAACATGGCTGGTGTGTCTTTCACTTTTGCCCATTTAATTCAACTTTACTCTCCAAGACTCGTTCGCCAAGATGTTTTTACTTTAGTAACAAGGAGCAAAAGAGTTTTGGTCAGTCCAAAAGATGACAAAGACCGTAGCTGGTATGCCAGGTTTGTTGCAGCCCCCATTGTTGGTTTAGTGGGTAATGAAAATGTTCCCTTCCCTGAGAAGTGAAATTTTGCACGTGAGTATTCTTTTTAATAACTTTCTCGTACCTTTTTTCTTCAATTTTGATGATCATTATCTTAATTTTCCCTTTCTTTTCTAGCAACCATGGGAATTGTTGATGAAATTCCCAATTTTCGTGGTTGGGTAGGAAAATTGTTGTATACAGCCTTAATGGAGAGTAGATCTTGGAAAGCTCTCTCCCAACGGTTTGGTTGGAAAGTGAAAACTCATGGTAAGAGTTTTTTTATTACTTTTTCCAGATCTTATTTTAATCCTTCCTTTTATCAGGATTTGTCATTCCAGGTATTAGTGCTGAGGCGGTCGTAGCTTCTCTAATTTATTTGGAAAGGGCCCAAGAGATAATTTTTGGCTCTTCATCGAAAAAAAAAGCTTTTGTTGACCAAAACTCTGAAGAAGAAGAAGAAGAAGATGTGCGTTCTTTGGTAAAACGACCACGAGCTCGTAGACGAATCATTTCTGATGATGAAGCCTCTTCCCCTCGTTCTATTCCTTTTACCGAGTCTGTTGAAGCCCCGGTGATAATTACCAATGATGTTGTTACCGCTATTGCTCATGATTCAATTGAGCAACTTTTTAGTTGCGGGTTTGGAAGTGAAAATTTTAGATCCGATTTCTGATGAAGCACCCCTTGCTTCTTTTTCTACTCCCATTTCTGCGATACCTCATTTGCCAGTCGTGGCTGTTACTGTTCCTCCCCAAGCTGTTTTGACTACTTCTACAGTTCCTCTTTCGACTCCTCCTCCTTCAATTGTTCATTACACTGAGGTTGGTTCCTCAAGTAGAAGTGAAGTCATGAGGCAAGTTACTATTGAAGTTCCTGCTGAGGGCAACCTTTTGAGGAAATCAGGTCGAGCTGATGTATGGTTGAAGCCATTGATTGGTCCAGTTGAAAGAGCTAAACTTGATGGCCACAGTTCCTTGACTTTGATGAATGATATAGTGCATGCTTCTTTAAAGGTATCCCTTGTTTCAAACTTTACTTTACTTTTTTTCTATTTTTAGTGTTCTCATCTTTCCCCTCCCCTTATTTTTTAGGTCAATCTAATTGGCACAAAGATGATGAAGAGGGTTTCCCTCTCAAAGAAATTAGTGTGTGACTACCAAGTGGAGGTGGATTATTGGAAGGAACAGTTTGAAAGTCTTCAAATCGACATGGAAATATTAGAAGAAAGTAAATGTACCTTAGAGCAGCAGGTAAGGGCTTTGACTTCAGAGTTGGCGGTTGAAAAGGCTTCATCAAATCAAGCAGGTAAAGAAAAGAATCGTCTCGAAACCTCTTTTTCCGAGCAATTCTCCAAGGCAAGTGAAGAGAACAGAGAGTTGAAGGCTCTCTTAGATAAGAAGGAAGCATATGCTGGTGAACTTGTGCAGACTCTGACTTAAACTCAAGAAGACCTCCGGGTATCTTCTGATAAAGTTTGCTCTTTAGAAAATTCCCACGCTTCTCTTCAAACTTCTTATGAATCTGCCTTGGCTAAAAAAGTGAGAAGCTAAGAAATGAAATTGCTGACTATGAAAGAGATTATGGGATTCTTGAAGATAAAACTACCATTGAAGTGAGTTGGGCGTTTTTAGATTCTCGCCATGATACCCTTGTTGAAGTTAGCCAGGAGAATTTCAACTTGGAATCTGAGTTAGCCAAGATCAAAGAGACTATTGAGAAGACTCAGCAAAACCAAGATTTTTCTTCTCCCGTGGCTGAAGCTTCT